ACGCAACTTATCCCTGTTTTATAGATGAGGAAACTGCGGTTCAGAGAGGGAAGCGTTTTACCCTGGTTCACACAGCTAGGCAGTGAATGTGCTGGGATTCAGAATAATTGGATTCAGGAAGGCAGTGGGAGGGCAGAGAGCAGCTCAGGAAGGGGAGGCGGTAAGATCGGTAAGATTGAGGTGACCAGTGTCTAGTGTCCTTGGGACAATGGGCTGCCTGGCCTGGCAGGGAGGGGCAGTTTGTGCCCAGGAGCTGGGGATTCAGACCAAGTAGGCAGAAAGGTGTGGATGGAGGAGAGCTTTCTGATGTTAGGCTGGGGAAGGGGGTGGGGAATGTAGAGAGTTGTAGTTCCAGAGTAGGGGAGTGACAGGTGCTAGATAGGGTTCTCAGGTGACCCAATAGGAAGCCTGAGCTGGAGAGGAGGGGCAGGCAGGAAGCTGCTAGAATCCATGGGCTAGGTCCCTGGGGGCACCCCTCCCATCTGAACATAAAGGGCTTTGGCACTGGCAGAGGAGCCAGAGTGACTTCACAGGCTCCACAGACAAAGGAAGGGGCCCAGCCAACCAGGTCGCTGTTCTCTGAACTCCCTAGGGGCCTCTGCTCTCAGCAGGATGTTCGGGTCACTGCTCCCTCAGCCCCTCTCTGGCAGAGAGCTTTCTCTGGGGTGGTAGTTTTCAACGGGGACTATTTGACTTTCCAGGGGACATTTGGCAATGTCCGGGGACATTTTTGGTAGTTACAACTGAGAGAGGTGGCTACCAGCATCTAGAGGAGAGAAGCCAGGGATGTGGTCAAATGTCCTACAATGTGCAGGACAGTGCTCTACAAGGAATTATTCGGCATGTCACATGTGCTGAGGTTGAGGAACCTGGCTCTGGAGCAAGCAGCAAGTCCCCCCATCCCTGTACTCACTCTTGAGGAAGTCACGAAGGGAACACCAGCCTTTTTATTTTACAGAGGAGAAAACTGAGGCTCAGAGGAGGTTGTGGCTTGTCCAAGACTGTGCAGCAAGTTCTTCAGTCAACAAATATCTATCGGGCACCTATTTGATGCTAGGTACTGTTCTAGTAGTGGAACTGGGACTACAACTCAATCGTTTCTTTATTTGTTTATCAACAAACATTTACTGTGCTGGCTGCTGGGGATGAATTGGACCCAGCCCATGGCCCCTCAGAGCTCAAAGTCCAGTGAGATGGACAGTCATACAGACAATAAGACAGTGAGACCAGGAAAGCCCAGGGCTGTCTGGAGAAATTCTGGAAGCCTTCTCAGAGGAGTGTGTTTACAAGCTAAGGTGTGAAGGAAAGTAGTAGTAGGTACCAAAGACTGAAGATTGGGTAGAGGGCTCCAGGCAAAGGGAATAGCATGTGCAAACGTGTGGAGGAGGGAGAATATGGCTCAATTAAGACCCGAAGATGGTTCTGTGTAGTTGAGTATGATATGGAGAGGGGAATAAGAAGTTACCAGGACCCAGATCTTATAGGGCCAAGAGTACCAGGCTGAGGTACCTGGACTACCTCTCTGAGTTGTGGCAGAGATGGAACAGGTGGCAGCCAAGGCCAAGAAAGCTCCCTAGACTGTCTGCTGGAGGGCTCCCCTGGGTCAGTGGCTGGGGAGGGGATAGGAGCTTCAGATGCCCTTTGTGGTTCCCTGAGTTATGCTGTTTCACTCACGGGCAGCCCTTACCCTGCTGGGTCCTATTGTGGAAGTCCCTCCAAGGCTGAGAGTGAAAAAGGTCCCCACCGCAGGAGGACAGCCCAGAGCCACCACCCAGTCCCAACTCTTGCCCTTTTGTCAATGAGGGTATGGAACCAAGTTTAAGAGAAATAGCATCCTTTCACTCCCATGAAATCAGTAATGACATATCAGATGAGCCCTCAGTCATCTACAAGGGAGTCCAGCTCTGTGGTTCGCATTCACAGCTTCAGTGACTGTCTTAACCCTTCAGCACTGGGGATTGTCTGAGTCCCCAGTCCCCACCATCCCACCCAGCCTTCCACACTTAGTTCAAATATGGTCTGTTCTGTGCTTCCTCCGACCACCTCCCCACCCCATCTAGAGCCTCCTGTTGCCCCCTCTGGGCTCCTATGGCACCGGGTAAGTCCCTCATCGTAGCCCTTGTCCCTCTGCATTGTCAGGGGCTGGCTGTTCATCTGTCTCACCAACTCCTGAAAGGACCTCAGGGACTTTAAATGTTTACAGGGAGATACAAAATGAATCCAGCAGGTAGACCTCATTCCTGTGTGACCTGAGGAAGTCAGTGAGCTTCTCTGAGCTTCAGTCTTCCCAGGTGCCTCCCTGGTATGTGTGAGGCCAGAGAATGACCAGTTAGCTTAGTAGGTAAGGGCACAGGATCTGGGATCTGACACTGGGGCTTAAATCCTGGCTGTACCATTTTCAGGCTGTGACCATGGACAAGTTCCTAATAGCTCTGTGCCTCGGTTTCTTCATCTGGAAAAAAATGAGGATAATAATAGTGTCTACCTCTTAGGGGGAATCCTATATCAGTGTCTCTCCTCTACAGGTCACTGTGTCTGACTCAGGAAACACACGTGTCCCTGTTGCTAGGCAGCTTGAGTATGCCCTTGAGGACCATGTGACATTGGGAAGGCATCTCCCAGCCCCAGCTGACTCTACTAGAAACGTGTTCAGACCTTCTCCTCTCTGCAGACCTCCCATCACCCGCTCTCCCTCCCAGCTGATGACCTCACTTCCTGCCTCACTAGGAAAGGTGAGGCCATCCAGAGAGGAGTCTCACAAGCTCCTGCCTCTGCCCCATTGGCTTTGGTGCCCATTTAGTCTACCTTCTCTGAGCTCCTGGTGATGAGCTGTTTAGGTTTGAAGCAGAGGCCGGCTGCCAGCTGCACAGTGGGTGGCAGTCAAGGCTCTCACTCTTGCAACTCTCTCCTTCGTCCTCAATTCTCTCTTCTCCACTGGGTCCTTCCCATCATCCCACAAATATGTGGTATTTCTTCCATCTTACAAAAACAGCCATTGCTACATTTTCTCTCCTCCCTTTGAAAGCACTGCCTCCACCCACAGCCTCCACTCTTTCCAACCCGCTCCAATCAGGCCTTGGCCCCTACTGCTCTGCCAAAACAGCTCTCATCAAGGTCACCAAATACCCCCCACATTGCTAACCCTGGAGAATAGTCCATTCTGGATTCTCCCATACGCGGCTCAGTAGCCTTTGCCACCATCAACCACTCTCTCCTTCTGGAAGTGCTTCTTCCACTTGGCTTCCAGATCATACCCAGCTTACCCTTCTCCCTCTCTGACTGCTCTTTCCTGGTCTCCTTGGCTGGGTCCCTCCTGTCCCTGACTTCTAGGAGTGGCCCAGAGCTCCAGATTTTAGAGCGGCCTTCTCTCTTTTCTGTCTACCCTCACCTCCTAGATGGTTTCCTCTGGGCTCATGAAATACTGTCCCTGTACGAGTGATGCTGGTCCTGACCTCTCTCCTACACTGCAGACTTGGCTTCCCAACTGCCTTTCCAACATCACCACTGAGATATCTAACCAGCACCACAAACCTCACAGGCTTACAACTCCATCCTTCTAGTCACCTTGGTCAAAATTCTCGGTTCTTTCTCTCGTGCCTGAGGTCTGGTCCATTAGCAAATTCTGTTGGCTGTCCCTTCATATATCCTAAGCTGACTCCTTGTCACTACTTCCACTCCTGCCACCCTGCTTCACACCCCCATCACCTCTTACCGGGACTGTGCAGCAGTCTCCTGACCACTGTCCCAGCCTCCACCCTTCACGCCTTCAGTCTCAGCTCAACCTATCTGCCAGTCAGAGGTTCTTTAAAAACTTGAGCCAGCTCCTGTCACTTCAATGCCCCAAGCCCTCCAATGGTTCTCATTTCACTCAGCATAAAATTCCCACAGCAGCCTACAGGCCTCATGGTCTGGTCACTGTTACCTCCCTGACCTCCTCATCTCTACTCTCCTTCTCACTCATCCCACTCCAGCCACACTAGCCACCTTGCTGTTCCTTAAGCATGCCAGACATGCTTCTGCCTCAGGGCCTTTGTACTTGCTGTTCCCATGCTAGGAACCTCTTCCCTCAGACACCTAGGTGGCTCACTCTCCTTCAGATCTTTACTCAATGCCTCTTTCTCAGTAAAGTCGGCTTACTGGATCCCCTGTCTAAAAATCTCTATCCCATCTCAGCTTCCCTAACCTCCTTTCCTTATCCTTTATCAGTCTCTAATACACACTGTATTTTACTTATTTACTTTCGAGATTTTTGTTTTTGTTTTCTTAGAGAGACAGGGTCTTGCTCTGTCACCCAGGCTGGAGTACAGTGGCTTGATCATAGCTCACCGAGGGCCCAAACTCCTGGGGTCAAGTGGTCCTCCCGCCTCAGCCTCCCAAGTAGCTGGGGCTGCAGGCATGCACCGCTGCACCTGGCTAATATTTTTTTAGTTTTCACAGGACAGGGTCTTGCTATGTTGCTCAGGCTGGTCTCGAACTCCTGACCCCAAGCGATTTTCCTGTCTTGGCTTTCCAAAGTGTTGGGATTACATGTGTGAACCATTGCCCACAGCCCTTATTTACTTTTGTTTACTTTCTCCCTCACACCCTAGGATGTAAGCCTCATGTGGGCAGGGATTTTTGCCTGTTTTGCAAAACTACATCTCCAGTGTCTAGAACAGTTCCTGGTGTGAACTGTTCTATATACTATATGTATAGAATGAGTCAATGAAATGCCCAGGGCTTTAGTCTCTTCATCTGGAGAAGAGATATACTAACAGAGCCTACCTCATGGGTATTTATGAGCTCACTTTATGAGCTGAGTGACTATGTGGATGCCCAGGACAGGCCCTGGCATACAGCAGGTGCTTGGCAGAGTACTCTGCTAATTTCTCCGACATACCCTCATGCTTTGTTAGGAGAGGAGACCGGGCAGAGCTAGGCCATGCTCTGCCTGGCTCCGGCCCACAATAATCCGTGCCTCTTCCTGGGCCCTCACAGGGAGCAGCAGGCGGGAGCCTTACCTGGGTGGATGTCCTGGAACAGGGACTTCCAGATGGTGTACTGCAGGGGTCCAGTGTACTTGGAGGTGGGGAAGTCTTCATATGTGAGGTTGGTCTCGTGGATTTTCCCCTTGAGCCTGAAAGGAGAGCAGGAGAGGAGGCTGCACCAGGGAGTAGATTTCTGCCCAAGGCCGGGATCTCCACAGCTACCTTCAGGGCAGTTGACATAGGATGGGTCGTGAGTGAGAAGTCTGTGGGACTCAGATTCAAGTGCTTGCTTGTGCTGCTTCCAACCACTTTAGCTATTCCCTCAGTTTTCTCATCTTTAAAGTGGGTACTATGTTAGCACCAGCCTCTAGGCTTGCTGTGAGGGTTACATGGAATAACATACATAAACGCTTAGCACAGTGCTTGGCTCATCATCAACTCCAAGTTCATGATATTAGCAATCAGTGTTGATCAACAAGCCACTACGTGTTATTAACATTAAAGGTGGCTTTGGGGCCAGTGAGGACTGGGCTTGAATCCTGTTTCCACCACTTACCAGATGAAGGGCCTTGGTCAACGGATCTAGCTTTTCTGAGCTTTAGTTTCTATAAGTGTGAAATGGGGAAGACAGTGGTAATGACCTTCAAGGGGGTTGATAGGGTTATAGTGACATAAAGCCTTTCTATAACAGCATGTAATAACATTTTATGAATAATATGTAATTTAAACACTATTTTATAATATATAATATACTGTATGACTGTAAATATTAAATATCACTTATCTGTAACATATACACAATATTTTACATATTTATCACTATAAATACGTGAAACCTTTAGCCCAGTCTCCCACCCACAGCAGATGTCCCATGAATGCTTGACAAGGATTTGAATGAGTGAATTCTCTGCTGGCGACTACATCTGCCTCCGCTGCCACTGCCCAGCATGGGCCTGTGGGTGGGGTGGGGGGTGAGTAGGTGACACCCACCTGGGGAAGGCCCCGGCAGGTGGGGCTTACCGCTCAGACAGGGAGGCCACTCCGGCCAGGAAGGTATGCCTGTCGGTTTCGGCCAGCCGCTCCTGCAAGATCTGGGCCCCCTCCTGCACCTTGCGCAGCTGCTGGCTATAGCGCTGGACCTTCTGCTCAATGTCAGTCAGTGTGCGGGCTGTGTCTGCCTCCAGCTCCTCCAGCATGGCCTTCTGTCGCTCGCGCAGCAGCCGGTGCAGCCGTTCGAAGGCCTCCCCGATGGTGGTCCGTAGGCTCTTGGTGGAAGACTGTGGGGAACAGTCATCAGGAGTTATGGTGGGGGGGAGTGGATGGGGTGATCCCTGGGTGATCAGAAGAAACTGTGAGCCTAGACACACAGAGAGGAAAGGGCGGGAAAGGGTACACTTGTGGGGTTCATGGCACATGCAAAGGCACGGTGGTATGAAAGGACTGGCGTGGCCAGGGGCAGCAAATAGTTCTAGGAGGCCCATTAGGAAATGGTCCAGGTGAGACAATGGGGCTTGAGCTGGAGGAGCAGCAGTGATAGTGAGGGACATAGCTTGAGAGCCGTCTAGAGGGCGGTCTCTTGGAGGCTGCTGGCCAACTGGTGAGAGTGGTGCAGAAGAGAAAGCAGCTGAGGAAATGCCCAGATTTCTGGCCTGAGGGTAGGAGGGATGGGGAAGCTGGGTGACCGGTAGAGGGCAGGGTGAAGATACTGTGTTTAGTCTGGGATATAGTGATGTCTTTTATTAAAAAAAAATAATAATTCATGGGGTTCAAAAAAACATGAAAAGGAAATCAAAGAGCTTTGACAACTGCAATGAGCTGGGCAAAACTTGGTGGTCTCTTACCCTGTCCTGCCACCCCCAAAACCTTCCAAATAAGGAACAAGAATTGGGACCATGATCAGAGGAGGTATGTATGGACTTGTGTGGTTCTCTCTGCCTCCCATGGGCACCGTGAGGCCCGGGAGCGGGGGTAGATAGTGAAGGCCACAGCCCAACAGCCCAGGCACGGTCCAAGGCGTAGAGAAAGAGCCTGGTTATTGCAAGAGTTTGATTCTAAGAGTTTTATTTCAGGCACATACTGAAAGTCTTATGAGAGATGGCTTCCAAGCTGGGACCTGAGGGATGGGCAGGATGTCATTTGGGGGTGGGGAGGACAGGCAGAGGGAACCGTGTGAGTAAAGGCTTAGAGTCAGGACGACACAGGGTACAGAAGTACGGCCAGGCTGCGACAGCATGTGGGGCCTGCCTCTGCAATTTCACTTTGTGGGATTCGGGCTAGGAGTTCATGGAGTCAGAAACCCCACTGTGTTCAGTGCCCAGGGCTCTGTGGGAGGCTCCACAAAGGCTCAATTAGGGCCTGTTCCCTCCCTGATGCGGCTGCTGGCCTGCAGGAAGAACTGCTGGCAGCGGGCCAGCCTCCCCGCGCATGCCCACCCAGAACGCCAGGCAGACAAAGAGGGGGCGGAGGAGAGGCTGGGGATGCATGGCCAGACTGCGGTGGCCTCTCTGAGCCCCGCAGGCGGGAGGGCTGAGATTTCTGTAGGGCCACATTGCTGAGGAGGAGATGGGATTTGTCCTCTTGGCCACCTGGAGCTGCCCTCCAAAGGTCCCCAGATCCCACAGCTACCCCTCTGGCCCCTCCTAGACCACTCTGCAGCAATGTCTGGCCCACTGGCCACCCTCCACTAGTTGAAAGTCTTCCCATCCCTGCGGCTGCTGCCTCTCTGCCTCTCATGTTTCTCAGGGCTCATCCTGGCCAGCACTTTCCTTTCTCATCCTCCATGCCCACCCTCATCTTCAACTCCCACTGCTTTGAGGATAGCTCCCAAGTCCATATGGGTGGGCTGCATGTCTCCTGAGCACCACACCTGTTATTCCAACAGTCTCCCCCTAGGGTTCCACAGGTCCTTCCAACTCACTCAGTTCACAAGTCAACTCTTGTCTTTGCCAAAAAACTCACAGTCAGAATGATCCTTCTAAAGGGCAAATGGCATCACTGCTGATCCTGTGTCTAGGAAATTTCCTCAGCCCCTGATGACTAGTAAGATGCAAAATTCCTTAAGCACTTCTCAATGTGATCCTAACTTGTCTCCCTAGCACCCCTGCAGTATAATTTCACCTGCTTAGAATGATCCCCTCACCCAAACCTTTTATTCAACTGGCAAACTTGTACTCATCCCACAAGACCTACCTTGAAATCTCCCTCCTCTGAGACATCTTCTCTAGTTTTTTCAAGTAATTAGGTGTTTCCAGAGTCTTTTGTAAACACTGTTTTTTGTTGTTGTTTTGTTTTGGTTTTTTGAGTTGGAATCTCACTCTGTCGCCCAGGCTGGAGTGTAGTGGCGCGCTCATGGTCACCCCAGTATCCATCTGGCTCAGGTGATCCTTCCGCCTCAGCCTTCCAAGTAGCCGGAACGACAGGTGCACGCTACCACACTCGGTTAATTTTTGATTTATTATAGAGATGAGGTCTTGCCAAGTTGCCCAGGTTGTTCTCGAACCCGTGGGCTCAGGCAATCCTCTCATCTCGGCCTCCCAAAGGGCTGGAATTACAGGCTTGAGCCACTGCACTTGGCCGTAAACACTCTTAATATACTGTTCCATGTTTTATGTATCCCTGGCTAGTAGGTGAGCCCCTCTGCGTAGGAATGACATCTTCCTCAGCCCTGCCCCCTATGCCCAAATCAGGGCCAGACTCAAGGATGGCAGTCAAGAGCTGCTTGAGGAGTAAGGAGGGAAGGAGGGAAGGGAAACCCAAGATTGCTCCACAGAACTGGGTGAAAACTCCATCTTTCTTCCACTGGGGGCCCAGTGTCTCCAGGACAAGAAGGAATGAATAGACAAAGAGGGAGAGGCAAGGAGATGCCAGCTCAGAAGCAGCACATCTGAGTGACAGCCACCCCAGGAGACCCAAGCACGTTCCAGATAGATCCTCCCAACCTCCCCAGTTAGCTGACCACAAAGCCATAGATCTTGCTGAGGATATCCCAGCATGAGGCTGAATATATACTGGGCTCTGGCATAACTGGACAGTAAGCTCCCGATTTGCCACTTACTAGCTGTGGGGGCCTTAGGCCAGTCCTTCAACCTCTCTGTGCCTTAGTTTCCTTGCTGATAATAACATTCCTACCCCACAAGATGCTTTTTCTCTCTTCATTCACTTATTTTACAACTGCTTATTGTGTGCCAGTTTTTAAGGAGTCCTGCTGCTGTGGAGGTGACATTGGGAAGACAATGAAGGGGACACAGTTTTCAGCACAGAGAAAGCTTCTGCTCAACTCGTGTGTCCCATCTACTCTAGCTCTTTCTAGGGCTGAGCCACCCTTCTCCAGTCCCCTCCCTTCAGTGCTGTGGCTGGAGAACAGCCCCCACCCCAGCCCACCACATGCCTTGGAACACCCTGGGGCCTGGAGGAGTTGGGCCCTTTCATAAAAACACCCTGCCAAGAATGCGTCACCCTGACAGGGCCGACCAAGGAAAACACAGAGCCTGAGGAGGGAAATCAGACAGGCCCTCAGGCCGGGCCATTGGAGGGGCAGGCGCCGCAGGAAAGCCGAGTCAGGCACCAGGTGAAATATGACCTCCAAAGCATCCATAGGCATTTCTTGTATAAACATCCCAGTCCAGACAGGAAGCGGGGCTGGGGGAACTGGAGGGGGAGGTGGCCCCACAGGACCCCCCAGAGGCAGACAGATGGACAGGAAAGCGGGGGAGGAAGAGGTCAGTGGAGAAAAATAGTGTGGGGAGTGGCGAGAAGCGAAGAGAATGCTGCCTGGGAGAAGAAACAGTCCGTGATACCCCCTCTCATCCAGAAAGAGGCTTCCTTTTACTTCTTGTCACCTGAGAGGCACAGAAGCATCAGACAGATGGGGAAACTGAGGCCGTGAGAAGTAATCAGGCCAGAGTCCTGTGACTATTTCTCATCTGTTGCCCACTTAGGGTCTTGCCCAGAGGCACTCTGGAATGTTCTGTGAAGAAATGTTTGTCATGACCTTCCTGAGACCTCACAGTGGGTTGGTGGTCGAGCTGGGGCACAGATCTGGGTTTCCAATGGCCTCTCTAGGCCCCAGGATGACCTCTGGAGGCCCAGAGCATTCCTAAGGCTCTGCTCCAGCTCTGGCTAATAGAGTGAGGCCAGGCTGAAATCACCCCAGATTTCACTGCACAGAGTCACTCCGCCCTGTGGGGACTCTACCAGGTGACTTCCTGCCCTGAAGTACTGGGAGGAGCCTAGCAGTCCCCACTGTACCAAAAGAAAGACTGGGGGCCCAGAGGTCACATAGTGAGTGAGTGGTGGGACCAGCACCCACATCCTTTTTCTCAGGTCAAGGAAAACGATTTTTCCCCCCGGAACCATTATAACCAGAGACTGTAGGATTTGGTCCTACTTTTCGGAGTCCATATCCCAAGGCCTAAGCTCAAAGGGAGATGATACCAGGGCTGGGCCACAAACCATCAGGGGGTCCTCAAGGGGGCATGCTCAGGGTTGGCTCCTCAGGGCAATGGATTCATTCGTTCATTCCATTAGAGACAGGGTCTCCCTATGGTTGCCCAGGCTGGAGTGCAGTTGCCAGTCACAGGTGTGACCACAGTGCACTGCAGCTTCGAACTCCTGGACTCAGCTGATTCTCTCACCTCAGTCTCCGGAGTAGCTGGGATACAGGTGCCAGCGCACCGGGCTTGGACATGTTTAATAAGAGAAGAGGAAAAAGAGACTGGGTACATTCTCCTAGCCCTTCAGGACGTCAGGGGTTTCCGGAGGGTCCCTGGTCCCACCCCAACTTCCTCGCAAAGTGGGAAGCGAAAAAACGGCCCCATCCTTAACCCAGGCACTAGCCCTTGCCCTCAGTCACCTAGGAGTGGATCCCGCCCCATTTACCTTCTCGGAAGGCCCACCCTCGGCCCGCCCCTCTCACGCCGGGCTCTCACCGCAGCCCTGCAGCCCCGCCCCCTCGTTCCCGACTGGCCCCGCCCCCTAGCCCTGCCGGCCCCGCCCCGAGCCCGGGCCAGACTCACCTTGGTCTCCGCCAGCTGTCGCTTGAGCAGCTGCAGCGCCTCCGTGTGCTCGCGCTCGCTGTCCTGCAGGGCCTGAAGCTGCTCCTTCAGCTCCCTCTGAAACGCACACAGGGGCGGGACTGGGGCGCGGGCCACACTTGGCCCAGGTAATCCGTGGTGATGAAGAGCCCAGCCCTGACTGCTGCCCGGTGCTGGGGTTATCGTGGTCTCTGTCCTTCCACCCTCCACCTGCCTCCCGTCACAGTTCAAGCACCACCAGCAAGTCCCGTAGAGTCTGTCTCCTAAATATCTCCAGGACCCGTCCCAGTCTTTCATTCTGATCTTCGCAACAGCCCCATGTCTGGCCATCCTAGAAGCTTCTGGTCGCCCTGTCGCAATCACCCTCCACATGCACGTTCTTCACTCCCACACTTGGCCGCTGGCTCCTGGTTGAGAATGCTCTGATGGGAACCGAAGCTGAACCACACAGTCCTTCGCTACAGACTAGCTGCCAACATTCTCTGAGCACTTAAACAGTGGGCTCCGCATTGTTCTTGCCCTTGGCTTGTATGAATGCATTTGAGCCTTTCAGTAACCCCAAGGTCAGCACTGTTATTATCCCCACTTTCTAATGGAGAAAAAGGCACAGAGAGGTCAAGAAACTGGTCCAAAAGCATATAGCTAAGCATGGAAGGGTAAGGCCAGAATTGGAACCCAGGCCACCTGGTTTTGGAGATGAGGATCTTGATGCCAGGTGACACGTTTTCTGCAGTGATGACACCCACAAGGAACAACAATGAATCTACGATAGGCAAGGTATTGACATTTTAAGCAAAAATAGGATCAACATTACTGATTTTTCCTTTGCTTTGGGTTCCAGCATGGTTTGGCAGGCCACTGCTAGTGATCTTGACATTGTTTAAAATTTTGATATTTGGCCAGGTGTGATGGCTCAAGCCCGCAATCTCAGCACTTTGGGAGGCTGAAGCAAGAGGACTACCTGAGCCCAGGGGTTCAAGACCAGCCTGGGCAACTTGGAGAGACCTTATCTTGACAATAAATAAAAAAATTAGCCGGGCGTGGTAGCACATGCTATCATCCTGAGTTTGTTCCAACCTGAAGACTTTCCAGGGCTGGGTGCAGTGGCTCATGCCTGTAATACCAGCATTTTGGAAGGCTGAGGCAGAAGGATTGCTTGAGGTCAGGAGTTCAAGACCAGCCTGGGCAACACAGCGAGAACTTGTCTCTCCAAAACAATAAAAAAAAATGTTAGTTAGGCATGGTAGTACGCACCTGTTGTTCCAGTTACTTGGGATGCTGAGGCAGGAGGATTGCCTGAGCCCAGGAGGTCAAGGCTGCAATGAGTTATGATTGCCCTACTGCACTCTGGCCTGGGCAACATAGTGAGATGCCAACTCAAAATAAATAAAAATAAAATAAAATAAAATAAAAATGACTTAGCTCTTGCTCTTTCCTCTGGCTGGTGCCCTTTACTTGCAGGATTTTTCATGGTGATTCCTTTAGCAACTCAGTGGCCGCCTTCTTGAAGAGTCTTACCTGACCACTCTGCATACAGTGGCATCTCCTTACACCCCTGTCAAACACTTAGATTCACAGTCTTCATCACACCTTCTGCTGTGTGAAATGACCTCACTCATTGATTTGACTGCATGTTTATCACTTGCCTCCCCTCTAGAATATGAGTTTCATGAGGGCAGGAATCTTGTCTGACTTGCTCCCTGCTGTGTGCCCAGTGCCTGGAATGGTGCCCAGCATATGGCAGGCCTCCATAATTATTTGTCAAGTGATAAATGGGGTGTGGAGGTAGATGCTTCAAGCACAAAGTCTGGTTGTCTACACACATCTGGAATCTAGCCCATTGTATCACAGCTGGTTGTTCTGTCCGTCTCTCCTTCAGCCCTATATTAACCCATGAGTCCTCCAGGGTGGCTCTTACTGCTCCCTCTCTGTATGTCCTGCACCCAGAAATGGCCTAGCACCGAGATGGTATGCAAGGAAGCTTGCTGCATCAATGTATTTTCTGGAAACAGCCGCCTCCAAATTCCCCAGTCAGCCTGGGCGGTGAGTGGTGCCAGGAAGGCTGACTTACCTGTTCACATTCGCCTCCCTCCCACTCATTCATCCTGTCAGACCAGGGAGTGTCCTCAGAAAATGTCTAGTTCAATTAATTTTACAGACTAGGTCGCAACATGGAAAAATGGTCATGATGACATGCTGAGGAAGAATGCAGAAAACAAATTTGCTTACTATTGCTTATTCATTCAACATATATATATATTTATTTTTAAGACAGGGTTTCACTCTGTCACCCAGGCTAGAATGCAGTGGCATGATCATGGCTCACTGTAGCCTCGACCTCCTGGGCTCAGGCAATACACTGCAACCTCAACCTTCAAGGCTCAGGTGATATACCGCAAACTTGACCTCCTGGGTTCAGGTGATACTCCTGCCTCAGCCAGTAGAGCGGATGGGACTACATATGTGCACCACCATGCCTGGACAATTTTTCTTTATTACTATTATTTTTTTATAAAGATGAGATCTTGCTTTGTTCCTCAGGCTGGTCTTGAACTCCTGGGCTCAGGACATCTTCCTGTCTCGGCCTCCCAAAGTGCTGGGATTACAGGTGTGAGGTACTATGCCCAGCCTCAACAAATATTTATTGAATAACTACTCTGTGTACCAGGCACTCTTGAGGCACTGAGATACAGCAGAGGACAAGACAGAGACAGTCCCTGCCCACAGGGACTAGTCTAATGGGGAAGACAGATAACAATAAGAAAAATAATAAAAGAGAGATAATTACCAATATGGTCTGTGCTCTAGAGAAAATAAAGCAGTGTGGGATGGGGGGGAACTTTAGGTAGAGTGGTCATGGTAGGCTTCTCTGAGGCGTAACACCAGAGATGACAGCTGTAGGATAAGGAGGAGCCAGCCATAAAAACAGGGGTAAGATAGAAACACAGGAGCAGCTTGTTTTGTGAAAGTAGAGGGCTTGCATAGACATAATGATTGGAACTCTGGCAGCCATCTCTGGTCATAAGGCAATTGTGAAGGTGGAAGTCACAAGCTGGAACCAAAAGAGTAGAAGAAAGAAGGAACCTGGGTCCTGTTGATAGTGGAACTGCCAGACCATCACATTCAGGGACATGATAGGAGGCTGGCTCTTTGGGAAAAAATAAAAAAATTTTAAAGCCCTGGCAGTGTTTACCAATTTCCATGGTGTAAATACTCTCACCAAAGTAGATTTCAAGCCATCAGTGTGAGGTTACTGGACACAGGATTGGAAGGAGACGCAGACAGCCAACTCTCAGGAGTTGGGCAGCCAGCTCCAGTACAAATGCTTGGGCTCCTTTCCTACGGACTTGTTACCATAAGGGAGAAAAGCCCCCCATCTAACTGCAGCCTAGAGTGGGCACTATTATTATTCCCATTTTCTGGTGGAGAAAAAGGCACAGAGAGGTAAAAAGCTGGCTCCAAAGCCAGTCTAGTCAGACCTCTATTACTAACTGCTGGCGGTCATTCCTAACAGATTCCTGTACAGCTGAGTCCTTGGAACAGATGAGTCACAGTCATCTGTCATTTGTCAAGAGTGCAGAAAGGTACCCCCCGATGGCTTTGGGTCTGTCCAGCTCAGGACACAGTGCAGCTGACACACAGATGTTGAGGAGATGGGCAAAGTGCTACAAAAGTGCTACAATCCTCCCCTTTGGAGGTCCCATGGGTTCACGGAAGACCCAGCCACCCAGGCGGCTCTTCCACATTTCTGAGACACTGCCCTCTAGGTCATGCTCCTCACATTGCTCAGGGCCCCCAAGGGACTTGGACAAATTTGTCTCTGATTTTGGAATCAGGGAACAAGGAGAGCTGGTTTGATACTTCCTCCTGAACCCTGGAAGCAATGGAACACTCATTGCCCATTCCACAAACACGTGCTGAGGCCTGCTTGGTACTGTGTCAGGGATGGAGACAGGGATGAGGGAAAAGTCCCAACCACAATGTTGCAAGGAGTGCATGTGTTAGGGAAACAGACGGACACACACAGTGAATGCTGGGATAGTACTGGGGGACCCAAGTCTGCTCTTTCCCCCAGTTCCCCATATCAGTGAAGGGCAGCTGCTCTCCCACTGCCATCCAAGCTAGAAACCTGGGATCACCCTGACACCGACCACCCTCACACCAATCCAGGTTTTCATCAGGTTTGTTCTGGAATTTGTTCTCTCCTCGTGACACCCATTACTCCCGGTTTGGTTCATCACTTCTCTTCTGGACTGTGATCTCAGGTTCCTCCCTGCCTCTGCACTCTCCCACTGCTTCAAGCACCCCACACAGTAGCTGCAGTGATGGTTCTAAAGGGCAGATCTGTAAATGCTTCTCTCCTTAGGGCCCCTCTGCAAGACTTCCACACTGTCTAGGAAGAAAGACACAGAAACTTAGGGTGGCATTCAAGGCTCTTCACCACTGGCCTCAACCTTCTTCTCCAGTCTTACCTCTTGGTCCAAACTTGTGCTGCCCAATATAGTAGACACTAGCTGCATGTGGTTATTTAAACTATAATCGATTAAAATGAAATAGAATGGGGCACCGGTCGCATTTTGGGTGCTCAGTAGCCAAATGGGACTAGTTGCTGCTGTATCAGACAGTGTAGATGTAGAATTTTCCATCGTTCCAGAAAGCTCTAGTGAATAGCACTGCTCTAGATGCACTAAACTTTTCCCAGCACTCTCCTCCAGGCCTTTGCACATGCTATGCACTCTGTCCAGAGTGCTCACCCACACATTTTTGTTTGCTTATTGGACTCCTACTCACCTCTTAAGACCCAGATCAAATGATACCTCCACTGGGAATTCATATCTCAAATGCTCCATGCTGTTGTCAGATCCCCTCTGTGTGCAGTGTCCCACACTTGCACCCTGATGGCACACACTGCATTTTGATTGTAGGGTTACCTGTCAAACTCTCCTAGATTGTCAGCTCTTGAGGGCAGGGACTGTGCAAGAGAGATGTTCACACTCTCAGTACCTAGGATAGGGCCAGGCACAGCTGGCCTCCGTAAGTGTTTGCAGGATGAATCTGCCCAGAGAAGAGGCTGGGCT